GGCCGTCACAAATTTCTGGATAGGGGGAAACGAGGCAAAGTGAACCTCGACATCCTCGTCGGGAAGCGTGAGCAGTGCGTAGCTTGTTGCGAGGTAGACGTTGGCTTGGCCGTGCTCTGAGTTTGTGAGAAGAAGCACGCGTTTTGGAGCGGGCATCGATCCCATCTCTCCCTGAGCTTGGCGATAGGCCCAACCTCACTTGCGACAAGTGAGTTGGAAGGTTTGAAGAGCAGACTTGGCAGCGTCGTACAAATACAAGAGAGCGTTGGGGGGACGTCAGAAAAGGAGCATGGCACATGGCTTGGCGCTGTTTTCGGAACGGCTGAGTGGTCCATGATAAAGGGGAAATCCGAGATTTAGATGCTCACAACCTCCCTACCTCCGTCGTTCGGCTTCGAGAAGACCAGGTTTCCCGGTGAGCGGGATGTGGAGGGAAAGCATGCCCTGCGTCAACCGAGGGGTGTGTGGCGAGAGAAGCTCGTTGGAGGGAAAACGGGATCGGCGTCAGAGGCGAGCATCGCCTCCCACCTTTCTCGAACGACTCTCCGACACGGAAAGAAAGTAAATAACCGGGAAGGATGAGGTAATCCCTCGACTGGCTGAACCAGCATAACCTCCGTCGCAACCCGACGACGCCCATCCAGTAAACTCCCACGTGTTTGGGGGGGAATGTGACCGGCTCGAGCCTCGCTACCCCTGATATCAATCAGCCAGGGGTGTAGGAGGGCGACAGCTGAGACCACGCCCAGCTACGTAAGCCCTGATAACATCGATGCCGCCAAGGTTCGTGAATGTGCCAAGCGAGCCGTTCCGTCGATCAACGGCAGAGAACGATCCAGACATTCCAGAGCTTTCCCATAGAGCTTCTCAGAATTGGGGTCACCTTGCTCTCTCGCTAGGGGGGTGGGGGTATGCCAAGGCAGCCGCATTGCTTGGGAGACAGGGCCAAGCAGCAGGATAGCCAGGAGCCATTCATGGCTGCGTAAGCCCGTCGGTCCGGAAGCTGCCCTACTGCACTCTGTGGCCCGGGGCACACTCCGACCCGTTTGTGATAGCATTGATTCGCATATAGGGGCAGGGTCAGGGGCAGGGGCAGGAGTATGACAGAGGGGACATCGTTTACGGGTTGGCGGCCTGTCCGTTGCTGCTTCTAGATGAAGTGAGAAAATGGTTGTCATCCAGACGACGCGGCGCCCCATTGCGCGATCGCGGCAGATTTTGGCTAAAGTCCATGTTTTGGGCTCCTCACCAATCGGCGGGCCGAGTATTTTGGGAAACGGTCGTTCAACAGAGACGGGAAGCTGGGTTTGGTCTGCAATTTTCCAACATACTGCCTGAATGAGAAGCCGTGCTCCCACCGGGGTGGTCCTGATATCGACCCTTACCTCGTCCTCGGCTGGGTCTAGAACGTGAACACCCGACTGAAAATTAGCACGCTTGCTAGGGACCATGGATCAGATGATAGATCCCAAGGGGCAACGCCGCAACGAGTGAGGGGAACCGCTCATACCCCCCTCACCCCCTCACGAGGTTAGCATTAAACAAATCTGCTCGAGCACCGGGTCCGACTCATCTATCATATAGAAAGCTTGAATACCGCTCCCCCGAAATTTGACGCAGCAGGTCGCATCGAGCCCAGATGTAACCTGCCAGCTAACTGTTTCACTCGGAAGACTGCCTAAATACCTCGTGGTGTTTTAGCAGGCGACGTATCACGTTGGTCGAGCTGGGAAACCGTTTGATCATGGCGATATTGTTGCCAATTGTCGACCGAAAGAACGAACTGCCCCCTCAAAGGCTGTGATATATTCTTTCTCCCAACCAGGTAGTTGTGTCTCCTGTCGGTAAATGGCCTCGGTTTCGCACACGCCAAGGCCGTTTCGCGTTGAACACCCCCTCCAAGCCAGAAAAAGAAACCACGCAAACGAGATGCAAGTCGTTACTCCAAGCATATGCCTATACCAAATTCCCCAGACCTTCGATATCATGGAAATTCCAAAGAACTGGCAGCGCTGATGCAGTGGGTTATCCCCTTGTTGCAAAACCCAAATAAATGCCTGAACACAAAAATGCATCATCATCATCACCCTGCCAGCCTAGGGGAGCCATTGCTCTTCAAATCAAAACTCGACAACGGGCAACTCCGACATATGCACCTTGGCCGACCCATATGGCACAAGCCTAAACGTCTCCTTCTCCCCCAAGCACGTCCTGTCGTGCGGGACGTCGCCCGGCGTGCCCAAGTACAGCCCCCATGCAATCTCACACCCCTCTACCGTAATGTAATTGGACGGCGCGCCGTACTCAAACACAGGCGTCGGCAGCCCCTCCCCCTCTTTCATGCCGTGGTACTCCAGCGTGCCCACATCAATCGCCACATTCCACTTGCGCGTGTTCTTCACGTAATAGTCCCGCACCTGCGGAAACGGCAAATCATGGAACCCGGTGCCGCGCGCATCGTCAAAGGCGTGAGGGAGCGACGAGGTGTTGGCCGAGCCGACGTCGAGCGCGTAGAGCAAACTGCCAAAGTAGACGGCCACGGTGCCGTTGGCGCGGGGCTCGGCGCGGACGGCGGCCCCGAGAGTGTATGTCACGGTGGTCTCGCCGGCGGGGAGGGGCAGCTTGTGCATGCCGGTCTCGGGGTCGGGCTGGAGGGCGATGGGAGAGGAGCCGCTAAGGGTGAGGGTAGAGGTGGAGGGGTTGTACCATGACGGCACGCGTAGGTAGAGGTCGAGGCCAGAGAGGGAGACAACTGTGTACCGCAGGGTGTGGTCGAAGGGATAAGCCGTGTCACAGTCGATGGTGGCGAGGGTGGTGGTTACCTTGGAGGGGCCTAGTAGCACGTGTGCGAGGCCAGTGTCGCCGACGGAGCCCCAGCTGTGGGTGACGAACTTGGGGTACCCTTGCGGGTGGTTGACTGTACAGCAAGGATATTGCGGCTCCATACCGAAGGTTGTTGCCGCACCGCCATGGGCGGTGGTGAAGAGGAAGGGGCCGTGTGGGTGGTCGTAGTCGTCGGCGTTGATGACGGCCCATGGCCCGTTGGGCTGGTCCAGATATTGATGTGCCCACATGTCACCTGTCATCATAACAGGCATGGCGTTGTAGATGACCAGCTCGGCGCGGTCCGCGTAGTAGTTGGTGCCGAGGGCGTGGTACAGGTAGGCGAGGGAGTAGCCGGTTTCGACGGCTGTGCATAGCTCGCTACCCATGTGGGGTGCGAGGTCGCGTTGGATTTCGTCTCCAAGAATCGTCCCCGACGGTGCGCCATGATACTCGAATGTCCAGTTCACTGCGGCCATAGAGGAGGCAATTAGAGAATCGTTGTGGCTGAAGCGGCGGACCACGGCCGACGCTTTCAACCCTTGGCCAGCATTCACGCCGTGGAGATAAGGGTAATCCGGATTCGTGAGCCAGGGGTCAGCAACGACTTTTTGATAAACGTCGGGCTGATACCAATCATCCCATTTATAGTCGCTCTGGTCGTAAAACATATTCATGTTTTCCCATAGCAACGCGTCCTGGATTGAAGGGTGGTTTTCCAGCATCCACTGAATAGAGATGATGAGATCGTGGACCCGCGTTTGGCCCCAGTAGCATTGAAAGTGAGGCGGGCAGATGGCATGCCCTTGGCTGTTGTTGCGCAGCATTGTGTTGGTCAGGTCCATGAACCTGCGGAGTGCACCAACAACTGGCTTTTGCCAAGTCGAGTTGGCCTCGGCCAACTGGGTAAGGCCAAGGAAAAAGGGAGCACGCGCCCAAAAGTTGCGATCCGACGGAATCTCGGGCCCGATCCAGCCGTCTTCTGTTTGCAGGTTAAGAACGGTCTCAGCAGCAGTGTGAACCTGATCCTTCAAGCGGTCGTCATCAATGAGGTAGGCCAGCGGGACCAGCCCGTTGAACCAATACGGCAGGGCTTCATTCAGAGGGCTGTAGTCAGTGCCGCCAGTGCCGGGGGCTTGCAGCCACCGCGACTCGTTCACGTAAATGTAAAAGTCGTACTCGTGGCCGGCCATGCCTTGGGCCATCTTGAAGCAATTCCGTCAGCCAAGTGTGTTGATTGAAATTCGTCGAGGGAATGCAGAAGAGAAACTTACGGTCTGCATCTCGCCCAAAATCCAGCCCGTCGGTAATACGGAACCGACGGGGAGGGGAGCGAAGGCCCATGGTACAACTGGTAGTGGTATGTCAGTTTTGGTCTGTTTGTCTGGACCCAAGTGCATTATAAGGATCAGCTTGAACTTACGCGCCGACATTTCCACCCAGGTGATGAGATTGACGTAGAGATATGTGAGGGCTGCGGCGGCTGCAAATGCCACGGTGGTGTCGACAACATATCCTCGCCTTTTTCTCGGGCCGGCTGTGGAAGCGGCAGCCGCCCACGGCTTCAACCTGCTGAAGACCATCGCCGCGGTCGCGGCACTTGAGAGCAACAACAGCAGTATCAAAGACAGTGTCAGGTCTCACGGGTAGCTCTCGTAACATCAAGGCCAATGGCGGGTTGCGTTGGGCTGATGCTGCAACCCACACAAGGTGGCCTTCTTCATTGTCGGGCGGAAGGGTCATCCGGACGTGGGAATTGCTGTATTTTTGAGGTCGGCCTTGTCGTTTTTGCGGGGGTTGGAGATCACCGCTGTTTGTCCACATGATTGTCTCGCTTTGACGCCACGTCAGCAAGGGTCTGATCCATCGAGGGTTAGGGTCAGCATCGGCAGCCCATGGCGGGCAATGACAGCAGAAGTGAAGGGTTTTTTGAGGGACGAACTAGCTCAGGTAAATCACGCCAGCTGAGAAGACCCTCACATTTTCAAGAAAAGATACTGAGAGGCTGTCCCTGCAACGCTAGCGAAACGCAAAAGAAACCAGGCGGCGGGCAGGAGCGAAGGCAAACCGGGTACAGTCACCGGTGTCACCGGTACAGACTTGACTAGCATCCAGCCCTTAGGTTTATTTCCAATACGCCCAAGGCCAGAGGAATGGGCGGCAAAAAAAAACAAATGTCTCCTCGACCGGAATCGAGCCGGTGACCTTTCGGTATATGATTTCAACAATTACAGCCGAACGTGATAGCCAACTACACCACAAGGAGTTTGAACTGTTGAAGTTGTGTATCCAGACCCTGACCCTTGTAGCCTCGAGCAGACCGCCCTAGACTCATTGCTGCTCTTTGCGACAATCTCCAGGGGGCTCCTCCCAGAATAATTTTAACCACCTGCTTTTTATGGCGAAAACTCAAGATCAATAAAATGACATACATGGAAACTGATGCAATTCAAGTGCTTGGCTACTGACGCTACTGACTAGATGAAAAATAACTCAAAGACCGGACCCGAGCAAGAACGGAAATGGACCTATACTGAACAAATGAAGGGAACGATCCGAAATTGTTCAACAAAGGAAAAACCCCGGTCTCGCAAACTTCAACACGACCACACCAAACTACTCCCAGTGATGCGTCTCGAGCCCCCACGAGTCGACAGCTGCGAGAGATGCAGCAATCAAGCGTCGATCGCATCCGCGTTCGACCTCGGCCACAAGCTCGCGCAGCACAGCAGTCATCGCCACCGGCTTGTCGGGGTAACCGCCCTCTTCGCAAAGGTCCTCCTGGTAAAGCGAATTTCCGACTTGCCGTCGCTCGGCCGCTGCTCGAGGAGATCGGGGAAGCTCCACGCGTACCTGGATCCCCTGAACCACTTCTCGTAGTCGCCAAACAGCTCCTTGTACGTGCTGATGAGGTCCTTGACTTGCTCCCTGTCGACACACTGATCGTGCGACGCCGCCGTCTCGAGCATTTTGTTCCTGCTGGTGACGGAGCGCAGCTCTCTCTCCTTTCTGTCGAGCTGTGACTGCGCCGCCAAAAGCTCGCTGGCGATCTCGGCATAGCGCGACCTGTCCTTCTCGAAGCCCTGCCCCCTCGCCGTATAGTCCTCCCGGATACGCGAGACTTCGGCAGCGTGGCCCCTGTCGCGCGCGCTGGCATCTTCCCGGAACCTGGCGACCTCAGCGGCACGCTCCCTGTCCCTCGCCACCATATCGTCACGATGTCGCACCTCATCCGCCAGCCTCTCTCTCTCCCTCACCGCCGTCTCGACCCGATGCTTGGCATCGTCGGCGGCCCGCCCGGCTTTCTCCTCTTTCAGCTGGCGATACAGCTGCTCCGGGTCCAGCTCGCTGTTCAACCTCACAGCCTCAGCCAACTCGGCCTTCTTCTGCCTCACCTTCTCCTGCTCAGCCCCCACCCTCCTCTCACTCTGCGCCAGCTCCGACTTGACATCATTCAGCCGCTGCCGCGTATCCGCCACCGCCGTCTTGGCAGCACCTAGATCTCTCGCCAAGTCGTCCACCTTGTGCGCAGCCACCGACGCCCGCCGCTCCGCGTCCGCGATGCGCTCGCTCGACGTCTCGGCCAGGTTCTCGTACTCGGCCTCGAGCTCCTTCTGCTTGCCGCGCTGCTCGCGCAGGTCCCGCTGCAGGGCGTTGTGCAGGCGCTTCTGCTCGCTCAGCTTGTGCTTGAGGCCGTCGATGCGCTGGTTCTTGGCCCCGCCCTCGGCTTCGAGTGTCGCGATGCGGTCCGAGCTGTCGCAGAGCGACTTTTGGAGCGTCTTGAGGGACTTGCGAAGCTCGCGCCTCTGTGCGTCGCGCTGCGCGAGGTCGGTTTGGAACGAGGATATTTCCGATTGCAGCTCCTTCTCCGTGTTTTGGGCGGCATCGGCATCGGAGGTGAGCTTGGTGATGATCGCCTGAAGGGAGACGGCGTGGTCCTTGAGCATCTTTTCAGCCTGGCTGAGTTGCTGCGCCCGTGCCATGCGCAGCTCGGTTTCGAGGCCGAGAGCTCGGGACTGCTCCCTGCGGAGCTCGGCCGTGAGACCTTGGCGGTTTTCTTTCTCGCGTACGAGTTCCATCTTGGCTGCCGTCTTGTCCGATTTGGCCTTGCCGAGGTCGCCACTCAGCTTGTACATGTCCTCCTCTTGGTTGTCGAGCTGGGACTTGGAGTTCTGGATGGCGGAGCCCAGCCGCTTAGTTTCGGCCTCGAGTGTTGTGACCTTGGCCTGGAATTGAGCGTTGAGCTCGGCGAGGGCGTCGTTCTGGGCTTGGAGAGGAGCCAGATCTTGCTCAAGGGCCTCCTTCTCACTCTTGAGGCGAACGCCTTCCGTGGCGAGCGTTGCGTTCTTCTGCGAGAGGTCTTCCACCTTGACGTTGAGCTGTTGAACCTGTTGCGTGAGCTCCTGGACCACGATGACCTGCTGCTCTTTCTCTTCCGTGGCGCGCTGGAGAGATTCCTCCATCTGGAGCTTTGAGCTCTCAAGGGCTCGATGCTGTTCCTCCAAGCGGTTGATGTCGCACGACAGCTTTTCGATTTCTTGGACGCGATTTTTGTCCTTCTCCATCTGCGCATTGATTACGCTTCTCACCCGTGCGTTGTCTGTGTTCACTCTTTCCCAAGACTCTTGGAGTTCCTTGTACTCCGTCTTCAGAGAGGATTGCTCCTGCTCGAGGGTAGACTTTTCATCGGCAAGCGTCGACTTCTCGCTCTCGAGGGTAGACTTTTCATCGGCAAGTGTCGACTTCTCGCTCTCGAGGGTAGACTTTTCATCGGCAAGCGTCGACTTCTCGCTCTCGAGAGTCGCCATTCCCGATCTCAGGGCTGAGTTGTCATCGTGGAAAGCCGCGTTCTGAGCTTTCAGGGCGGCCTTGTCTGCTTCAAGAGCCGACCTCTCTCCCTCAAATGCTGAGTTATCGTTCTCAAGAGTCGACACTTTGTTCTCTAGAGCCGATGCCCTGTCCTTGGCGGCTACCAGGTCATCCTCAAGAGCTTTGTTCTTCGCATCGAGGGCTTCCTTGTCTTGGAGAAGTGTCGACTTCATCTCCTCGAGGGTTTTGATCTCAGATTGGAGGCCATCCTTGTCACCTTCGAGGGACTGGTTGCTGTGTCTGAGCGCCGAATTTTCGTCTTGGAGTTCATCGATGCCGGCTTCCATCCGTGCCCTTTCCTCCATCAGGGAGTCATTGACATGTGAAAGAGATTGGTTGGCCTCCTTGAGACTCAGGTACTTCTGACGGAGAGTATTGTTCGGGTCGCGGATTCTATTCGGCTGGCGTGGGGCCCCTGCCCCGACAGCCGTGACTTCAACATGCGGGGCCGGCTTGTTGGCGGTGCCGGTTTGGCCAAAGTGGACGGCCGAGGCAGCGGGACTCGCGCTGGGAGTTCCCATTGTGGAGTAAGAAGAAGGGCGGTGAATTCAAGATGCTGGTTGGTTGATGTGAAAAAAAAAGGCAGTGGGCTTTGTTTTCTTTTTTCCTTTTTTTTGGTTGAAAAAGGGGGTCGTTGATTGGGTGAGGCCAACAGAGCGATGAAGATGCGGTTGTATGCTTGTATGAAGACTGATGTATTCGAGAGAGGGGACCACCCGCTTGAAATAGTTGTGTCGTCATGGGAATAGGGCATCGGAGTTGAGGCAACTCACGGCCAGCGCACCTGAGGATTCAACAGACTCTGGCATCATGGAGGAGTTTGAGCCGCATCATTGAAGTTCGGTTGGGCAAAAAGTTAAGGCAACCAGACAGCACGCGTCACAGCCTCAACTACTCTGGCACCAATGAGGAGTTGTAGACTTTGAGGCTCTAGCAGCCTTCGAGCCTTCGACCGCGGCCACCGTCTTGGCATCGACAGTCAGCAAGGTTCCTGCCTTGCTCCCTTTCTTCGAAATTCGACCACGTTCGACTCGGGAATATCCGAACACACTCAGTCCCCCCATCTTAGCGGCAGTCCTCGTGGCCCAACACGCAAGAGGCTCACCGCCACGGCTTAACCACCTCGGTAAAAACGAGTGGTGCCTCTATTCCCCGGCTCAAAGCCTTGCAGCACGAACTTGGTGACTCAGACATCACATGGCCTTAGGCAGATCCGCAGCCTCTGCTGCAATTGCCAATGGATAGGCTGGCTAGGAGACACACGTCAACAACATACACGGAGAGTGTTGTCTGTCTCTGGACTTTTGGTTGATAGTAATTCTGCTCGAGTCGGAGTTGGCACCCGCGTAGAGCTGCAGTGACCTGCCGTTAGCCACAGGACAATCTGTATGTGCCGGGCCGGCATGGCATCGGGCTGCTGTTACCGCGGCAAAACGGGCTGATTGGGCTCCTGGGCAACCATACGGGCACCTTTTTTATCTTACCCAGCCCGGAGCCAGCCCGGAGCCAGTTGTCTCCAGGCAAGCCTACTAGCGGTAGATAAGTCGCACCGTCTTGATACGCCCAGACCAAGTCTTGCGTATGCAACCAAGCCTCCTGCCAAGTTTGCAGCCCAGACATCTGTGCAACACGCAACTGTGCACACAGCTGTGGAGTGGGTTGGGGTCGGTGTCAGTGCCATCACGGAGTTACCCCAACCCATGTGGGGGGGATTCGGGTTACACAACTTGGCGGTGCAGCGATGACCCCTTGTCCCCTCAGGGGCTGTGCGGAGTGACAGCGGAGGGGTCGGGAGGGTCCTGCCATCGAGTTGAGAACTTGAGAGACGTCGTAGGGTGCCCCGAGACAGCCTGAGGTGAACTTGCGTAAACTCGGAATCTACAATCTTTACCACCAACTAACATATCGTGATACCGTTTTCTTTCTCAGATTGTCGAAGTGTTATCACGACAATGTCAAGCACTAAAACCGACGGTGTGGATGGACGCCCCCTGACCTAGACCGCCAAGCTTTTACCCTTGCTGCTCAGTGATGTCAATGGCGCTATATAGATCGAGCAGTCAACTTTTGAAAAGTACTGTTCCAGGTCCCAGATCTGAACCTGCATTCTCTCAACTACACGTGTAGTATCCGAACCCAAAACAAAATAGCAAAACCCACCCACCTCCTGGTCCTTCTGGCCACCGCTTTCAACCTCGGAAGCGCTCGCCCCCCACACCCAAGGTGAGGCACGGTCAATCAAACAAGTGCCGATAGGAAATCCCAAACTCTCCATCAGTGGCATCCCCTTTTCCACCCGAGCCCACTGGATGCGCCAGGCCTCAACGCCCCCCCTGCCCGTTTGCCGCGTTCGGCAGCGTCATAGTCCGGTGCCAACTCCAACAGCCAAACGGGAAA